GGTTATTGTGAACATCATGATCATATTGTTTAAACCTAAAGTGGAAATCTGATGGTCATACAATTTGTTGTGATAATTATCTGAAGAGAGTGGATATCAGTAACAGGAAGTACTCCACTTATGTTGGAGTTCTATTCATGCGGTGCGACGTAAGTTAGAGCTGACATAAGTACCTATGTCACTCAGCAAGGACATGGTAAACCGAGGACCCCCCTGTATCATTCAACTTTTCCAAGGTGGAATAATGTGACTGTAAATCTGCAGGGTTTTTTTTCGTGAGGTCAGAATTTGAGTAAAAGTTTGAGCTAAGATAATTTTAAGGCACACTACATTGATTTTACCTTAAATTCGTTTTTGTTTAGAAACGCAGCAGTGGCTTCTGTGTAAATGTAATGTTGTGCTTCCTTATAAAATATTACATATTAATTATAATGTAAGACTTTTAATTATAGTCCTCACTGTGAGAGTCATGATAATAGACACTGTAATTAGATGTTTTTGTACAAAAACTCTACGTTGCATCAAATTGACAAAGCTGCCGACAAAATAAATTAAAAGAAAAAAATCTACGGTTGTAAAAAGACTTTATTCACTGTATCTGTGGCATTTTCATTTATGTCTGACTGTGCTCTGACTTTACAGTAGGAGGAGATTAGTCCTGTAAACCCAGTCTTCACCCCTCAGTCCAGAAATGTGCAGATTGGACAGTAAATGACCTGGACGGTCCAAACTGACTGTAAGTGTGAATGTTGTGCATGTGATAAACTATCATCCAGTCCAGGGTGTCGCCCCGTGTCAGCTGGAATCGGCTGCAGCGCTCCTGCCAGCCAAAACAGTATAAGCAGTCAAAGATGGATGGAGGCACACGTTCAGCCAATGCAGATGTTCCATGGACACACTGTGGTACTGCTTAGTACTCTCAGGGGTTTGAAGTGCTGGCATTCTATACTCAAGTACAAGTATAGATTCTAGTGTATAAAAAGACTCCAGTAAATGAAGAATTACTGTTGTTTTTTTTTACTGAAGATTTAAAGTTGTATCTCTAAAATGTACTTAAGTACAAGGTCATTTTTATGGGTTTTTTTTTATCAGTTCAGTTAACAAACTGCACTTTAGTGGTGCAGAAGAAAATCCCTGAAAAGTTGGTTTTTAATTTCATCACAGACTAAGATTACAATATTTGACAATACCTGAATAAACGTATGTACCTAGAATTCAGCTCCCTAGTTTCTAATGTACTAAGTAGTTATTGGACGTAGCTTAACTGGTGAACCAATCACACAGAGACTTTAACATTACATTATATTTTATTAACTACATGATACATCCTGTGTATTCAGCTACGCAGTGTACCAGTATGTGAAGCTCATGGTTTATACAGTAGGTCGACACACAGTAAACAAAGCGCTGGCCATGTTTACTCTGGACACAACACTGAACATTTGCCTGACGTACCACCATGGACGGGAATGTCAGGAATTCTCCCTGGTTAACTCCTCCGTGCTGCTGCAGTGGCTGCACGTTTTCTTCCCTTCTCTCCGCACTTGACTTTCAGTATGTAGTCACATCTCCTACGTCGCTCCATCATCTGTGGTTAAGTTGAAAAAGGAACAAGAAAGTAGGGATGTTTGTGTTCAAAAAAGGTCTGAGGAAAATAATTATTCGTATAAGTAGAGGTTCCTGAGTAATCTGCTTAAGTATAGTAGTAAAGTATTAGTATTTTCTTACTGCATAACTTGAGGAACTACCTTGAAATGAAAAGAGACCATGTTTGTTGGCCTTGACGGGATTTACAGATGTGTGGTGGAAGTACTTTAGTAGTAGTTATTGCTAATTATTGCTAAGGAAAACAACATTGAGGATTCCGCTGACTGCAATAAAAGGTGTTTTATTTCAGAAGCACCGCTGTAGCATGTCTTCCGATGCCAAAAGCATAAATTAATGAAAAGCACTGGCAACAAAAAATAAAATCCCTGCATTGATTAACAGATTTAAAGCAGTCAAAATCGAGAGTTTTATTTTTTATTTTTTCAGCCTGAATGCTTCACATTTCTCATGCGTTGATCGTGAACAGCCCGCGTCATGCAGTGATAAAGAGGGAGGCAGCCACATTACTGATGCTTAGTGTTTACATACAGTGATAATGTCTGGAATGTTTCTGCCCATGAATGTTTCATGAGTCTACGGTTGTTGTTGCCGTGCCGTGTTTCCAACAACATGATTTGCACAGCATGCATTAATGTGTTTCGAGATCATTTTAAAATTAATTTTCATCGCTTTCCCCTGCATCACTGACCTTTAAAGGATTAATTTGCACAGCTCCTGGGATCATCCAGCGACATAAAAATCACTGAAAACAATAACTGACTCATTTTAATTGAGTCACAGGCTCGTATTTTTATCTAGTGTTCAAATTTCTTTTGTTTTGTTTACATTTTATTTCTATTGTACAGACCCCAAACGATCGACTTTTACGAGGTTGGCGGAAAGTTGAACAAAAAAATGGATGTTACAGATTCTCAACTGCAAATATCTAAGGCATATGTACTTCAAAGGTACAGTACATACAGTAAAGAACAAGACCAGAATGCCTCGAGGATATCTGGCAAACTTGATCGCTAATTTTTCAGCTGAGCCTAGTTACTGATGCCAAACGCTGTCAAACACAATATTTATGTGGACATTTTTTTTCACTGCAGATATTTTCAAAACCCATGTTTTGGAAATTTGTGGCATGTGTTGTGCGTTGTACAAACAGACGTTTAGGGCCTATGGCTGTAGCACAGGTCAACAAAGGTCAGCACAGGGTATAGGAATTATTATTTCTGAAAAACATTTTACATTTAAGGATAAATCTATAAATATTCACACTGTTCTCAATGTTTTACACACTGCTGTATGCAAAATAAAACAATAGACCATTGATGAAAGTGGGTTTCTGTTAAATATGTCTTAATGGGTTGGATATAAAACGGTTCCAAGGCTGAGATATTGTTATGAGGCCATCTTGATTAGGACAATTCTAATTAATTTTTAGACTGACTTTAAGTAAATGAACACATCAGAGTCAGAATCTGCTTTGTTTTCATTGTTCATATAGTGTACAGACACATATACAGTACACACAAAAGAATTTGTCCTCCGCATTTAACCCTTGGCGAAAAGTTCTCTTGATTTGAACCTTATAGATCCTCTAATAACAGGCCTGATCCTCTTACCACTACAGGCCACTGTACTGCGATTCCCATTAAATGTGATGACCAAAAGCTGGAAGTGGTCGATATCATCAGGATCAGTTGAAAATGAACCACTCAAGGCTGGTCACCTTCAGTTTTTCTTTCTTGGACTCCCACACACGTCTTTCATGACTTCCACCTTCGTTGAAGTACTGTCTTATAATGTTCACATATCTTTCATAATTCCCTTTCTCCTTCATTGAAGCAGGTCTTTTAGTGTCCACCAACCTTTTTAAAAAAGACATGAAAAAATAAAAATAAAGAACTGAAATGAACTGAAAAACTCACTGATTTCTATCTGTCCGAGCTTAAACAGAAATTTGGAAATGCACATGTATTCAAACCGACAAGTGACAGCAATTACATGTACAAACATTTGCAGTATTTCCAATCAAATGTTACTGCGTCTGTGTCGCGGCATTCTCTAGTATTTCATGTCAGGTGTTTCGGTGACAGGTTTCGGTGGAATCTCTCTATTCCTTCATGCTGTGAACTCTTCTCTCTCTAAAGCTTTATCCAAAATAACACACACACTAATGCATGCACACACCTCAGGCCAAATTACACCATCAATTTTAGTGGGAAATGCCTCAAGAGTGTGTGGGCTCCATCGACATGTGCAGGCCTGTTCATGTGGTGCAATGGGACGGAAAGACAGAGGAGAGAGAAAAATGAATAAAAGGCAGGGAGGGGGAGAGAGTGGTTGGGGGCGGCAAAGATATGTGACCTCTCTCTGCAGTTTGTCAGTCTTTGTTTACTCTCTGCCAGCCATAACTACTCAC